CGACCTAATTTTTTTTTTTCTTTTTTTTTTTTTTTTTTCTTCTTTTTTTTCTGGCTCAGTTGTTAAATCCAATCAGCAAAGGAAGGAAGGGCAAAATAAAATAAAATAAAAATGCCTCATTTCTGAGCACGCTCCCGCTTCGATGCAAAAAAGCTAAAAGCATGAACTGCAGGGCACAGGCAGCTCCAGCTCGGATTGATGCCACGGCTTTGCCCAGTAATGAGGGAGCAGGGCCAGGACACCGGGGACCATGGCCTGGAGAGCAACGTTTGACTTCTCCACATCTCCCCTTCCTTTCAAGTTTATGCCTGTTGGGAGTGGAAACTCCTCAGGGCAGAACATCCCCTGCCATGGACAGACACAACGGTGGACAGGCAGCCTTTGCCCCAGGCTCAAGTTGCTGCTGGGATATAATTGATGTGGGTCACTGGGTATTTAAAAGTGCGGTTGGATGAATCTTTGGGTAATATATTCCTGAAATTAGAGCACAGTCAGCTTTGGTGGCCAAGGTCTGCAGTGATGGAGGGGGGCTTGGGTATCTTCCACGATGGGAATTAATCCCCAGGGCTAAAGATCAGTGGGCAAGTGACCATTCGTGTGACTTCTCCGTGTCTCAGCTCGGTAAAAGGACTCTCTTCCCCCCCTAAAAAAGCTCCCTGCTTGTCTAAGAGCAACACAATCATTACTGCAATGCTAATTTCCTCTTGGCAGCTCTCCCCCCACTCCCTGCCTGAGTGCCCTCCCCTTTAGTGCCATCCACCACGTTTGAAAAGAAATTTGCAATTATGACTCACGCTAATAAAATAAAATACAAACCCCACAGCCAATAAAAGGCAAAAAGAGAGTCTCGGTGGAACAACTCCTCAGCAAATGTTTCCAGCAGGCACTGAGGCTGAACGGCCCCGCGCTCATCACACGTGTGGTAGATCATGAGGTTGGGGGGAAGGTCCCACACCATAGAATCATAGAATCATTCAGGTTGGAAGAGACCCTTGGGATCATCGAGTCCAACCATCTACCCTACTCTACAAGGTCATCCCCTACACCATGTCCCTTAGCACTGCATCTAAACTTGGGGGTGGTGGTAGGGGGTTTATCTATCTATGCATGTGTGTGTGTGTACATACATACATTTGTAAGAATTTCTGTCAGACGGGCAGGTTTACATCATCCTGAAGAGGATGGCAGGAGGGAGGGGGCACTGGGGAGAGGAGGAGCTGGAAATTCAGGCAGAAACCGTGAAAAGAACTGGAGCAATTTGCTTTACCTTCCCCTTCTGCTATCGTGTCTGGCGCAGGCTTCAAAATAGTGTGCTAATTAAAACCCACTAAAGATTATGAGGCTGTAAAGAGGAAACTGTGAAACCCTCATGAACTTTTACAGCCCCTCCATGAAAATATTTCGTTTTGCGGTCTGGAGAAGTATTTCCTTGTCTCTTTAAGCACCAAAGGGCCTCATCCATGTAACGATTGCTCTCTAAGCGCTGGTGGCGCCGACAGCATCTCGTGCTGCATTACAAAACAAAAATCTCTAAGCCTTCTCCATAAACATTGTGTCCTGCAGGGCCATGGCAGGACTGCAAAACCACTTGGAGGCAAGAACTGGTGCAGGGAACAGACCCGGAGATGTTATCTGTGGTCTTCTAAGAAGATTCCAGACTGAGGATTGGGTTCCTCCTTCAGGGCAGAAGTGGGTAAGTCGCGCTGTGCACAGCTCGGGTCTAAGATAAAGGAAGTTCCTGGGTCACTGCACAATTTGCAACACGGGACAAGTGGAAACGGCATCAAGTTGTGCCAGGGGAGGTTTAGGATGGATATTGGGAAAAATTTCTTCACAGAAAGGATTATGAAGCCTTGGAAGAGGCTGTGTGGGGCAGTGGTGGAGTCCCCATCCCTGGACGTATGGCAGACGTGGTGCTGAGGGACGTGGGTTAGTGGTGGCTTTGTCAGCGTTGGGCTTATGGTTGGACTCAATGATCTGAAAGGTCCCTTCCGACCTGGACAATTCTATGGTTCTATGGTTCTATGGTTTGTTCTCTTTGGGAAACCATCTTGCACTGCCAATGTGTCATAAACGCTCCACCTGTGTGACTGGGTTCCACAGGTTGGGGTGGAGAAATAGTTACCAAACGACAATATGCAGAGGAAAGGAAAAGTAAATGCTGGCCCAGGTAGTGGCAGAAAGTTTCCCAAGGGCTGGTGCTCTCAGGAGACTTCTACTTCCGTTGAATCATAAAATGGTTTAGGTTGGAAGGGACCTTAAAGACCATCCAGTTCCAACCCCTCTGCCATGGGCAGGGACACCTCCCACTAGACGAGGTTGCTCAAAGCCCCATCCAACCTGGCCTTGAATCCCTCCAGGGATGGGGCAGCCACAGCTTCTCTGGGCAACCTGGGCCAGGGTCTCACCCCCCTCACAGCAAAGAATTTCTTCCTGTTATCCCATCTAAATCTCCCCTCTTTCAGTGTAAAACCTTTTCCCCTTGTCCTGTGGTTCCACTCCCCAGTCAAGAGTCCCTCCCCATCTCCTCTGAAGCCCCTTTAGGGACTGGAAGGGGCTGTAAGGTCTCCCCAGAGCCTTCTCCAGGCTGAGCACCCCCAACTCTCTCAGCCCGTCCTCACAGCAGAGGGGCTTCACCCCTTCGAGCATCTCCGTGGCCTCTTCTGCACCCGTTCCAACAGGTCCATGTCCTTCCTGTGCTGAGGACTCCAGAACTAGAGTGGAAAATCCTCAGGGCCACTGGTGTGTTGGTATCACCCTCTTCTTCCAACCACCTTTGGGATTGGCCTCCCACTGTGTCTCCAGATGGGTGCTTATGAGTGTGTGGACATCCTGGGTGGATAAGCCAGCGCGTTGTCTGAATAGTTATTTACTATTAAACAAAACAGCTTGTCTCTACCCGCAATAACAGCTTAATGAACAAGAAAATGTTCTCAGAAGATCTCTCCCCCACCCACTCGGTCCCCTATTAGTGAGAGGGGATTTGCAACAAACACCAACCCACAAACCAGACCCCTGCTGATTATTTAGTGTGCTCTGGGAAAGCAGGAAAGCACAAAACTAGATGCATTGCCTAAACATGAGCTATCTGGAGACCTCTAGGCTTGTTTTGGTTGGAAGGGATCTTTAAGATCATGAAGTCCAACCATCAACCTAACACTGATAAAACCACCACTAACCCATGTCCCTCAGCACCACGTCTGCCTGGCTTTTAAATCCCTCCAGGGATGGTGACTCCACCACTGCCCTGGGCAGCCTCTTCCAAGGCTTGATGACCCTTTCTGTGAAGAAATTTTTCCTAATATCTGTTCTAAACCTCCCCTGGTGCAACTTAAGGCCGTTTCCTCTTGTCCCATTGCCTGTTCCTTGGGAGAAGAGACCGACCCCCCCCGATACACCCTCCTTTCAGGGAGTTATAGGGAGCGAGAAGGTCTCCCCTCAGCCTCCTCTTCTCCAGGCTGAACACCCCCAGCTCCCTCAGCCTCTCCTCACAAGACTTGTGCTCCAGACCCCTCACCATCTTTGTTGCCCTTCTCTGGACCTGCTCCAGCACCTCAATGTCTTTCTTGTTGTGAGGGGCCCAAAACTGGTCACAGCACTCAAGGTAGGGCCTCACCAGTGCCGAGTGGGACAATCACTTCCTCATAATCTTCATTTGTGTATGTTCTATTTCTGAAACACCTGTTGGCAAGAAAACAAGATTCATTCAAACGCTACCTTTCCGGGAAAAAATATTCAGTAAGGATTTGTTAAAGGCTGAGGGGGATTCTTTCTGGCAGCATCTTGTGATGCAGCAAGAAAGCTTGTGCAGCCAATGTCAATGGGTGGCTGAAATAAGTTGGTCAGGATCTGGGTTCCTACCTGCCACATGCTGCTTGTGCCTTCTCTGTGCCCTTTGGCAACCTTCACTCCCTTTGTGCCCTTGGTGTGAAGGTTTGGAGAGGACTGGAGAGTCTGAACACTTGAGGAGAAAGACTCAATCTAATTATATGGTTTAATTACCTCAATTGCAAAAGTTTTCTTTCCTCTACAGCAGGCTGTAGGTAAGGCCCTCCCTCATGTCACTGCCTCTCTTCTCTCCACAGTCGTCCCAGCATGTTCTTCTGCCACGCAGTCCAGTATTCCTGCAAAACCTGGGAACAGGCTGCCCAGAGAAGCTGTGGCTGCCCCATCCCTGGAGGAGTTCAAGGCCAGGTTGGATGAAGCTTTGAGCAACCTGGTCTGGTGGGAGGTGTCCCTGCCCATGGTGGGGGTGAAGGGTGGAACTAGATGATCTTTATGGTCCCTTCCAACCCAAACCATTCTATGATTCCATGAAATGCCTTCTCACCCCTCAGGTCAGTGCACAGACATGGGCGAGGGCTTTGTATTTACATCTTGTGGTGGTGAGATGGACAATGTGAAGTGCACTTCAAAGAAGAGTCTTTTAAATCATTTGCTTTGGAAGTAAACACACTCCCGAGTATGAAATGTTCTTGATTTCATGCAATCTCTCATGGCACCCACCAGCACAGCTGCTCGGTGGGCGGAAAATGTGGACTGCAAAGCTTGAGATCAGCCATGTGAAGACGAGGCAGAGACTCAGATTATTAAGCAATTAAAGACAAAAGGAATCAAAAATTGTCTGACATTAGGCCAGACAGAAGAAGTCTCCTAACAACTAGAACTACTGGGTTCTGCTTTTAACATGGAGATTGAGAAGCTTCTTGTCCCGTTGGACAATGGTAGCTTGGGACTAGACTGAATGACTCAGAAGACCACTTCCACACTGAGGTAACCTTGGAGGACCCCATATGAATTCGGACCTGGAAGGGAATCTTTTAAATATCAGAAAAATAACATTTCTTAAGAAAAACCAGACAAAGCACCAGAGCCTTTGAAGAGTCTTTAAACATCCTTTAATTTTGCAGTTTCAAGAGTGACACACAAGCAGTTTCACAGCTCAGAGGGAACCCATCTCAGCATGGTAAACCCAGCTGGGTTGACAATTGACTTGGCAAATACAAGTGCAGTGTATTCTTGCTTTGGAGGAATGGTATAAACTCCTCACCCTCAGAGAATAAGGAACCTTCTACAGGGTGGCTTTGCATGGTCAAGGCAGGGCAGAAATAGTGACCTGAGAACATCTCAGAGACTTCAGAGCTGGGACCTGCCCTCTTCCTACCCTCGCTGATCCCTAGCGCTGAGCTACATAAGCCTGCGTGTCCTTCAAATCAAATGCCAATTACAAAATATCTTTTGGAGCTGGGGAGGCTCAAAAGACATCTTCAGAAAAAAAAAAAAATAGAATTAAGTTTCACTATTACCTTATATTGGCAATTTTCTCCTACGTACATCCACCATCATCCGGTGCAGAACGCGCTGTAGGAACCGATGCCATATGGCTCTGAGATAATGAAGAAGTCGAAGTGGAAACAAATGGTCCCATGTTACCTCCCACTAAGAGAACTGGCTTCTCGCTGTCTGAAGGAATAAGCAGCTGGATCTCTTTGCAGTGGAAACAGCAGAAAACTTAATGTGTCTACAACTGTCACGGAGAATAGTATTGGCAGAGCTCAAAGAGGCTTCAAAACCATCAAGATCCCACCTGTGAGCAACAGGTCTGCACTTCCACTGTCATAGCGTGGTCTGAACTTCCCCTGAAGACTCTGACCTCACCCAGTGTGACATCTTCTCTATTCCCACCCCACCAGGCATCAGCTTGCCTTCCATCTCAAGGCAAAGCAGCAGCAACACAGCAAAGTCAAATATCCCACCCAAATCTCCACCAGGATAACCTGTTCCTGCTTGGAGAACACGGTCTTGGGAGAGCACGTTAAAGAAGCGTTACGTGATTACATACCCAAAATCCCCAAAACAACCCCAAAACCAAATTACACATGGCATTTCCCTTCTCACCAGTACGATGCCACCCAGAAAACAGGCACTTTTGCCTTTGATTATAACAGAGACGTGGAGGACCTGCAGCCTGGCAGGTTCATAAGAGCCAGAGAGCAGATTACACGGTGGTGATCTTCTTGTCCTTGGTGGCCTGTTTGATAGCAGCCTGCTCACAAATGATCTCCTTCAACCGCTGCAACCTCATGTTCTGGGTGGTTTGGTCTCCCACCCCCGTCTGGCTCCGGTGCAGTAAGTTCAGGGCGTAGATGTATTCCAGCTCTGTGTACTTCACCCCTTGATCCACCACCAGGTTCAGCAGCTCATCTGCTGTGTTGTAGAGCATCTCGTAATACTGCCTGAAAAGCAAGAAAACAAAAAAAATACACTCTGGTGAGCAGCGAGCCTTGATGCTCCAAACCTTTTTTTCTGGAGAATACCACCACCTCCCACTTTATTCAGCAGTGCCAAGAGCTAAGAAGGCTGCATCAGGTGCTGCACTCGAGGAGATGCCAAGTGGGCACCTATCTCACCAACCTGTCCCCCACAGACTCAGCTGAAAGAATAACTTATGGGCAATTGAGGGCTCCTCCTTCCTAGTAGTTACCATCAGCTGTGTCCTGGGCTGCATCCCCAGCAGCGTGGCCAGCAGAGTGAGGAGGGGGATTCTGCCCCTCTGCTCTGCTCTGGGGAGATCCCACCTGGAGTATTGTGCCCAGCTCTGGAGTCCTCAGCACAGGAAGGACATGGACCTGTTGGAACGGGTGGAGAATAGGCCACGGAGATGCTGGGAGGGCTGGAGCCCCTCTGCTGTGAGGACAGGCTGAGAGAGTTGGGGGGGTTCAGCCTGGAGAAGAGAAGGCTCTGGGGAGACCTTGGAGCCCCTTCCAGTCCCCAGCGGAGCTCCAGGAGAGATGGGGAGGGACTCTGGATCAGGGAGTGGAGTGACAGGATGAGGGGGAATGGTTTTACAGTGGAACAAGGGAGACTGAGATGAGATTTTGGGAATAAATTCTTTCCTGTAAGCGTGGTGAGACCATGGCACCAGTTGCCCAGAGAAGCTGTGGCTGCCCCATCCCTGGAGGGGTTCAAGGCCAGGTTGGACAGGGCTTTCATAGAATCATAAAATTGTCCAGGCTGGAAGGGACCTCCAAAGGTCATCTAGTCCGACCTCCCCGCAGTCAGCAGGGACACCCCCAACTAGACCAGGTTGCCCAGGGCCTTGTCAAGCCTCTCCTTGAATATCTCCAGGGATGGGGCCTCAACCACCTCCCTGGGCAACCTGTTCCAGTGCTCCACCACCCTCACAGTGAAGAACTTTCTCCTAATCTCCAATCTAAGGCTTTGACCAACCTGTTGTAGTGGGTGGTGTCCCTGCCCATGGCAGGTGTTTGGAACTGGATGATCTTTAAGGTCCCTTCCAACCTGAACCATTCTATGATTCTATAATTCTATGCCATTGTTTGGTAGCCAGCAGATAGAAAGCAGTATATAGGTACAGGTGCACGTATATACATGTACACGTGGTGATGCACAGATGTGTATCTGCTCATGAGCCTGCAAAAACAGGCTTCTGGAAAGGGAAGGAATCACAGGGGTAAGGGAAGTGGAGATTTTTGTCCCTAATGAAGCCCTCTTGCAGAGAGATGCTAATTGGGAGCATGGGAAGAGCTCCAAGCCCAACACTCCAGAGACCTCCAATGCCACCGAGACATACAATTTGAGAGAAAAAATATTAAATAATGCAAAATAAAATTTGAGCCAGGAGCCGAGGTGCCTCTTTTAATAAGTAAAAGATCATCTGAAGAGAGAAGGGCATAATATAGAGGCTGCAGCGCAGGCTGGTTTAAATTAATGTAAAGTGGCATTAGTGAAAGAATGGATTTCCAAGGAAGGGAATTTAAGCAAGTACTTATTGGAAGGGAAAATGTGTCACGGGCCAGGGAAGCAGCAGGGCAATTCTGACAGCTGCCAATCCAACCACTGCAGAAAAGAAAAAAGGACGTGGGACTGGTTTGTTTGCCCCGATTTCACATCCCAGGTGGGAGAGGTGAAACTTCTGAGAGCTGCTGGGCTCCTTTGAGAGTTTTTCTTCCCCCCACTACCTCCCCTTCCAAACTGATTAAGGTTTGAAACCAGGAGAAGAGCTCTAGGAAAGCACGTGCCTAGAGGTCACGCAGCAGAAGGGGAATCAGGACTTTAGTGCCATTTATATTTAGCACTTTTGTGAATTTAGAAATTTTGCGAGGAGAAAGACCTAGGAGTCCTGGTAGACAATAGCACAACCGTGAGGCAACAATGTGCCCTTGTGGCCAAGAAGGCCAATGGCATCCTGGGGGGCATCAGGAAGAGTGTGACCAGCAGGTTGAGGGAGGTCACCCTCCCATTCTGCTCTGTCCTGGTGAGGCCCCATCTGGAGCACTGGGTCCAGTTCTGGTCTCCCCAGGTCAAGAATGGCAGGGAACTGCTGGAGAGGGGACAGCAGAGGGCTACAAAGATGATTAAAGGCCCAGAACATCTCTCTGATGAGGAAGGGCTGAGGGACTTGGGTCTAGAAAAGAGGAGACTGAGGGGGGATCTGATCAATGCCTATAAATACTTCAAGGGTGGGTGTCAGGAGGATGGGGCCAGGCTTTTTTCAGTGGTGCCCAGTGACAGGACAAGAGGAAATGGGTACAAACCGGAATATAAGAAGTTCCACCTAAACATGAGGAGGAACTTCTTTCCTTCGAGAGTGGCAGAGCCCTGGAGGAGGCTGCCCAGGAAGGCGGTGGAGTCTCCTTCTCTGGAGACATTAAAAACCTGCCTGGACATGTTCCTGTGCGGTGTGCTGTAGGTGGACCTACTTTGACAGGGGGTTGGACTAGATAATCTCCAGAGGTCCCTTCCAACCCCATGTGATTCTGTGAATTTCCCCATCTGTACCAAGGGGTAAGATCTGGTGTTGGGGGTTCTGTGGTCTAGATATCACCACGACAAAGCATCCTGTCCAGAGGGAGCTGTGGAAATAGAAGGCTTTACAAAGCTCCTTTAGGCAGAAGGGTTCCCAACCCTGGGCAGAGCCTTTCAGGTCAGGGATGAGGAGGAGGTTCCATTCCCCTGCAGCAAGCTCCAGCTTGATGAACCTTTGCTTGAGGGTTAGGTCTCTTTGGGGTGTCAAAACCAAATGAAGTGGTGCAGGTGACAAAGGCACAGCGGAGGCTCAGGCTCATCCTCCTTGATAACACCGACACTACTCTAAACTCTGTCCCAGCCAGAAAAACACAGCTCGTTCTTCAGCTGAAGCAGTTAAAGGGACATCTAGTTACTAGGCTGGGACTGATAAAGCCCCGTGGGTCAGGGGTCTAAGGATGAGTTTTAATTTCAGCACCCTTCTTCACAGAATCACAGAATCACAGAATCTTCTAGGTTGGAAGGGACCTTAAAGATCATCTTGTCCAACCATCAACCTCACTGACAAAAATAGACACCCACACAACAAACAAGGAGCATCACCATCACTAAACCATACCTCCCAGCACTACATCAACCTGTCTTTTGAACACCTCCAGGGATGGTGCCTCAACCACCTCCCTGGGCAGCCCATTCCAATGGCTGAGAACCCTTTCAGTGAAAAAATTTTTCCTAATATCCAGCCTGAACCTCCCCTGGCGCAACTTGAGGCCATTTCCTCTTGTCCTGTCGCCTGTGACTTGAGAGAAGAGACCGACCCCCACCTCTCTACACCCTCCTTTCAGGGAGTTGTAGAGAGCAATAAGGTCTCCCCTCAGCCTTCTCTTCTCCAGGCTGAATAACCCCAGTTCCCTCAGCCTCTCCTCATAACACTTGTGCTCCAGACCCCTCACCATCTTTGTCGCCCTTCTCTGGACCCGCTCCAGCACCTCAATGTCTTTTTTATGGTAGGGGGCCCAAAACTGGACACAGTACTCAAGGTGGGGCCTCACCAGTGCCGAGTACAGGGGGACAATCACCTCTCGGGCCCTACTCGCCACGCTGTTCCTGACACAGGTCAGGATGCTGTTGGCCTTCTTGGCCACCTGGGCACACTGCTGGCTCATGTTCAGCCGACAGTCGACCAACACCCCCAGGTTGAGCTCTAATTAGTCCTGTAACGTTGATGTTTGAACTCAGCAGCATTAAATAGCTGTATCTGGGACGTCTCAGAAACGAAGATACCAAATTTGAATGGCAGCTACCTACCAGCCAGGTCTACAGCATCCTTCTGACACCTTGATGTGTGTCCTCAATGGTTTAGAAAATTTGGATTTTTATCAAGACACTTCAATACACAGTCAGAAATCTAATATAAGGTTAACTTTGAGGGTACTGGCAGAATCTCGAGTATGGTTACACACACAATGTGTCGAAAAAACAGTAAGATTGCCAAGGTAAACACCTGGATTTGGGGAACATTGATCACCTTCAGGGAATTTAGGCTGAGCCGATGTCAAACGAGGTTTCACCTTTGCCAGCTCTGGCTCGGTTTTCAACCAAAGGACAGAGAGGAGATCTTGGATGGGGTGAGGAGATCTTAGATGGGGTGACCTTTCTAGAGATGGCAAGTCTTTGCTCTAAAGCACAGGACTCGTGACCTTCCCAAGGTGATAGAGGACCTTAAGAGAAGAAGGAGTGAGAACTAAAGCTCTTCCATCTGCAGCCCAGACCACTCACCGGACAAACCCAGCCACGCAAACCCACCTTTACCCCAAGTCCTTACAGCTGCCTTCCCTTTTAGCCTGTCCCAAATCTTGGATTACTGAAGAATTCTGCACCTGATACACCCAGGATTCATCTGTCGCTCTTCTCAGCATCAGATTATTTTTTAATTAAAAATTCCCTACGAAATAAAAGAAGAGAGCGGGCGAGACGGCGCGAGCGAGCGAAAGGTATGCATTTTTAATTGGGTGCAATTAAAAAACCTGCTGCTTTGGCATGGCATTGCCTTTGGCCAAACCCTATTTGCATGAGTAATTATTCACTCCATTACGAAGTCTGCTCAACTTTGCCTCCCTTGTCTTTGAAAGTATTAATAAATATTGATCAGACGCACTCCTGTTTGCCTTTGCCCAAGCAGCTCTGATGGACTCATCTTCTGATGTTATCAAATAATGAAATATGAAAGAGCGAGTGGGATGAGCCTCTTGTTCTGTGATTTTTTATTTAGGCTCTTCATTTCACTTTCAGAAGTGTATTTGTCCCTGCCATTATAAATGCTCTTTTTGATTATCAAGAGGAGGTTGAGAAAAGCAAGCTAGGAAGGGATGGGGGGAAATAAATGGACGACAGGTGAGGGAAATCTCTCTTCAACGAAAGGCTGGCAAGAACCTGCTTTGTTTTTTTTAAAGCTGAGATTTAAAAC